TGTTTGATTCACCCATTCTTCAAGAAAAAATATTAGTGATGGTTTATTAGGTCAAAAAGGGAAAATTATTAAAAAAAAGTCATAAACCTATTGCAATTGTGCCAATTCAGTCATAAATATTTTGTATTTTTGCCAATTCAATCCATCGGGCCAATTTTGGCCGACTGGCACTGACGTGGACGCCAACCATCTCATGTGGCGTGGTCAGTACTGATGTGTACAAGTTTTAATAATATTTTAAATTTTAAATTTTCTTCTATATTTTTTTCTTTTCCTTTTCTTTTTTTTCTTTCTTCTTTTCTTTTTTTCTTTCCCCACAGTGGCCGGCAAGGCTTTGGCAAGGGTCGCAGTGCTTCCGCAAATCTGGGCGAGGCCAGCTTTGCCTGTTGTGGGTGAAGGTGGCCTTGCCCGTGGCTGGCGAGGGCATGGCCGCCTTCGCCTGTGGCCCCTAGGCCTCGTGTCCAAACTGTTGTGTGTGTGTGTGGCTCTTGAAGCTTGAAGGTTAGTACGATTTCTCTCGCAATTTGAGCTTGAGGCCTGGGGCTGTTGGCGAGGCCGGGCTAGGTCTGCGACCCTCGCTGGCCACTATGCGGAAAAAAAAAAAGAAGAAAAGAAGGAAGAAAAGAAAAAAGAAAAAGAAAATAAATCAAAAATAAAAAAATATAATATTATTAAAAATTATCCACAGTAACGTCGGCCAGATGGTCGGCGACAACTGGCGTCCACATCAGCGCCGGCAGGCCAAAATTGGCCAGATGGATTGAATTAATATAAATACAAAAGGTTAGAATTGAATTGATAAAAAAAAATTTAAGATTGATTTGAAGCAATTGTAATAGATTTAAAAATTTTCTGATAAATTTCTCATGTCAAAAATATTAGTACAAACACGCCCACCAGTAGGACAGGTATTGCGCCACGAAACTATTAACATTGATTAATCACCTTGGTCTTGCGTATGACTCGGTCAAGTTGACTCGTGGAGTCGGAATTTGCCAGATCAGGAAAGACAAATCGACTTAATAGTCTTAATGAAAAGGACCTGTTGACCAAACAGCTCCCTCCCATGAAGCAAGGACGGGCAACATGTTCCCTTGCCCCGTCGCCCGAAAAAATTTCGAAATTTCGTCCTTGCCGGGCGAAAAGAAATTTTGAAATTTCGAAACAGTTCCGCTTTTTTTCACAAAATTTCTTTTCAATAATTTCTTTTCGAAAAATTTTCAAAATTTTGCCCTTGCCAGTGGCCGGCGAGGTCGACCACCGGCGACCAGCCGGAGGAAGGAGAGAGGGGAGGGAAAAAAAATAATAAAAGAAAAAAATAAAAAATTCAAAAAGATATTAAAATATTATTAAATTTGTCCATGTCAGCGCCGGTGACCGGCCGGCCGGCGTCCACGTCAGCAAAATCCGGCAAAAAATGGCCGGAAGGATTGAATTGGTACAAAGACAAAAGATTTAGAACTAAATTGGCACTAATGCAAAATGTTTAGGATTGAATTGGCACCAAAAAGAGGTTTAGGACTAAATTGGCATCAATACAAAAGGTTGAGGACTTTTCTAACACTTTTCCCCTAAATGTTTTGTCTAATCCGATGAACAATTTCGAAACTTCTTTTCAATAATTGGTTAATTTTTTTAGACAAACATATCTACTAGAAATCAACTGTCCTATCCAATTCGATGGTTGCGTCTGTCTATGATACACATTTCTTCGTTGTTCTTATTATATAAACATATCCTTTCGTTTAGAATATCATTCCAATTTCGAGAGGGTTCGAGAACTTAAAGTTGTATCACGGAAGCATTATCGCCTTAGGAAAGTGGGTGCGCGCATCCCTTAATTGAACAAATTCTGTACAGCAACCACGAATAATAGGAATAAGATAAATCATTTAGGCTCAGTTTGTTTCGCGAAAAATGAATGATTTGAAAAACATTGTCCTAAAAATGATCGTTTATATCCCTTAAAAAACAAATGAATAAAAAATATTTTTTATTGACTAATTATTTCAAGTGATCGATTTTAGACAAATGTTTTCTAAGTTATTCGTTTTTCGCGAAACAAACGGACCCCTAATCTTGGTACTCCCGTGGGTAAGCGGTCTAGTAAGATATGTATATGTAAATGTATAGATAACTTTTAATTTGCTTCTTTATCTACTAAATAAAAACAATATATCAAAGTCAGCAGACAGCCAACCAAGTCTTCTTCTTTTTTTTCACTAATGCAATTTTCTCCTCCAAGAAGTCTAGGTACCACGGGAGACACGCATGTACAAACAGACCTTTGATACATAAACTAAAATTTATTAACGATCGCACGTCTTTTAAAATTCCTAGCAACCATTTTTCTCTTGTCTTGTACCTGTTATGCCTTTTCGAAACTTAGTGGGCTACAAACCATTCAAAAACACAAGAATCGAAGCTCATTGGTCTCTTCATTTCAAACGAAGTCTATGGTGACTGGCCTTGGGAAATTGAATGCCACGACACTTTCCAAGACGGAAGTAAGAAATTTCATTGGCCATGCATTGGCTGGGTTAATCAAATCACGAGTTTATTAGTGAATTCTGGGAGCTTTAGCTGGTGATAGTTACCCACTGTACGCTTTTGCTTAGTGGGAAATGAATTCCATGGCATGTTGTAGGATTTCATTTTCATGACTTAAAGAGACTTAGACTTCAACAAAGAGCTAAGCCATCTAGATAGTCTTATTTTTTTGAACAATTCAAATATTGGGAATGTCCTTGATTGGAGAAAATTCTGTTAGTCTCTATGTGATTGGTTTAGTGGTAAGAGAGCTCCCTGTCTTGTACGAGGTCCCGAGTTTAAATCACCTTATGAGCGAGTTTCTGCACGATTTGAGTTGCGTTGCCTAATTACGACATACCTCGTGTGGAGAAACTTTCTGATTGTTAGCATCTTGGTCGGGCTGTGATGACAGACTCGCCAATCTTGGACCTTCGGGTCACGAGTGGTACGGAGTAATTATGACTCGTGCCGAACATTTCGTTACAGGTGTGAGACTCTTATGGTATTGTTCAAAGAGGGTAGCTAGCGCTGGATGCCCCGGCCTTTTCACCTCTCTCTCCCTCCCTTGTGCTGAACCTATGTTCTTCAACATCGCCGCATTCCACCACACCGGCTGTCACGGCCATGCCATCTCCAACACTCGGCTTTGTTGCAGCCTTTGCCATCATCAAAAGTAATTTTAGAAGCAGCCCCCATGATGCACGGCAAAATGTACATTTCTACCGTATTAACCCTTATGTTATCGACTATGTACGTCATGTCTCACCAATTGCACAAGACTACGTGATATATCTTTAGTACAAGATTAAACCTTGCCCATCGTCCCTCTCCACACCCTTTGGCCAGAAAATTCAAATAGGTAACGTTTCCTTTAGGTAGCTTCAACCAAGAAAGAGGAACGAGCATCGCTATATATCCTTTTGAGATTTGCGATTTAGATTGAAGTCAATTAGAGAGATTATTCATGCAACCATTTCTTCAAGACTTTTCTCTATCCATTGGAAACACAAAAAATGAATAAATAAATAAGTGAAAATTCGCCATCGACTTCACTTGGCCATTTATACTCTTATTTGCAACAATGTCCACTTTGAACAATCTTTTGATGAGACAAGAATCTTTTTATTTTCTCTAATTTGCTTATGTTGTGAAAGTAGGTGTTACTTTGTCACATCACTATTCCATTTAACCAAATTTAATTGAGCGAAAAAAAGAAAGCTGGAGGATCAAATTGCATAAATAAAACAAATCAGAGGGTAGAATCCGTGACTATAGTTTGTATAGATATATAGCCGTATATTTATGATGATATAATATCATTTCAAAATGGGAATGCTCCGTTTTCTCTAGATTACTAACAAAAAATTAAGTTGATAAACCAGTGATTGAACCTGGTTTTTAATCAGATTACTTTTGATTGATTTTTTTTTGTCGAAAGATTACTTTTGATTAAGCATGAACTTTCCGTCGGTTTTCGCTTGACGGTTCTTGCCTCGTCCTATTATACCTTCTCGTAGGTCGTCCACTCACCCGTTGACTTCACATTGTCACTTCACATTGTCAAGTCAGAGAGAGGGACAGGAAAATGATGATGGTTGTGATCAACATTCAACGGGGAGACTTTCGTTTTGCCACCAAAGTTTTTGGGATTGTGGCAAATTGGCCCCTCGACGTTTCGGTTTTTACAAATTGCCCCCTAATTTTTCGGATCGGCAGCAATGCGCCCCCCTAATGTTGACTTGAACCAAAGTTTTATCACAAATTTAATCAGGCGACTGCACGTGATTAGTTATGAAAGGAAAATTAGTCATATACCCATCTACATATGTGAAGAAATGAAATATAAGAACTACTCTAAACTATATTTCAAAATATATATCGACATATGTATTTGGAGCTAATTTTGATCAAATTCTCTTCAAAACTTTAGTAGCATTCCCTCATGTGTAATATATCGTTCAATTATTCTTCCACTACTTTTGCAACTGGTTTCTAAATTTCAGGGGATAAATTGCAAAATTGAAAATGTGTGTGTTTGCGGGTCCAATATTGGATATGCATGCATGAATTTTTTTTTTATATATATTTAGTCGTTTATTTGAGTAACTCCATGTGTGAATATAATTTTATTAACCATGATGTATACTTACAACACTAATAATCCCTAAAGCATATGTCGTCGAGTAGTTAGGCGTATAAATGGTGGGGGCAGAGAGGGGACATAATATAATTGAATAAAATAACAATAATAAAGCCAAAATTCGAAGACCTAATGTTAGAAAATGTTTGACTTCTGACTATATGCCCAGCGTTTGTGCAAGTCACTGAGTCTTCTTCGAAGGAGATGATGCTATAAATGGAGAGTGGTACCTCTGTTCTTCTTCAGCCCTCCTCCAATATATTCTCGAAATTCTTCGAACAAATTGAAGAATTTAAATTCCTCCAAATTCCTAGTCGAAGCAAGCACCATGAAGGTAATATGATGGGAAAAATCACGAATCGATTCACCTTATGTCGCATGCCGATTCACCTTCTTCATGTGTTCTTACTATTTGATTTGATTTTCTTTTTCAGCAAAAGCTCGTGATCAAGGTGTCTATGAACGGCCACACCTCGAGATTTTATTGCTTCGGCCCCCAAAACCCTCACTCTAAAGCTTTGAAAGTTGCGGGTGGCTTTCCAGGTGATTGTTAGATGTTTCTTTCGTATCTTGACGATCATTTAGGTGTTATCTTCTGTAAATTACTTTGGGTGTTGCGAGATTGAGCGGGGAAGAAAACCAAGGACCTCTTTTGATTCGAAATCGATCTGTTTCCTTCATTGGTCTCACTCCAGGAGTTCAATCCGTGGCACTGGCGGGCGACCGAGACCGGATCGAGGTGACCGGAGATGTCGACGCGGTCAACCTCACCACTTTGCTTAGGAAGAAAGTCGGGTTCGCGGAGATAGTGTCCGTGAGCGAGGTCAAGAAGGAAGGCGACGGCAGAGACACTCCTGGCATAACGATGGACCCACAGCCCATGATGTGGCCGTCGTACCCTCGCCGTGAAATAGTCTACCTCGAGGATCCATACCCTCAACCCCGGAGCTGGCCCTTGTAGGATCAACGAAGATCGACGATGATGACTTATCAATAAGTACGACATTGATGTGATGAGTTCTTTACTCGAGCACTTTTGAAAAATGAATAAAATCAGTTGCCGGTTTGGATCGAAATTGAACTTTGTGATCGTGCCATGACCAAGATTAGTTCTCTCTGATTTTGACCAGTTGGAGTCTCTAAGATAGAGTTTACTGATATCACGACCTCCTTTTTTTTTACGCGTCGTGATGGTAGATTAGTGACGAGGCACCAAATATAACCTAAAGCGTGTTTTGACGTGGCGGCTAATGGAAGGATTATTGTCGAAAAAGTTATAAATTTATCGTACGGTGGTCAATTCAATCTCAAACTTCTCAATTTGATTAATTTAATCTTAAACCTTTTAAAAAAATTTCAATATAGTGCTTCTAGCCAATTTTGGCCGAAAATCACTGACTTAGCGGTCCGGTCAATACTGGCCGTCTACATGGTATGGCCAACGCTGACGTGAAAGATTTTTACAAAATTTTATGAATATTTTTTTCTTCATTTTTCCTTTTCTTTTCTTTCTTCTTTTATTTCTTTTTCTTTTTCTTTTTCCTTTTAGCCTATGGCTGGTCTTCGCAATGGGCGGCGATCGCTAGGATCAAACCCAAGTAAAAATGAAAAAAGGAAAAAGAAAAGGCAAAAAATTCATAAAATTTTCAAAAAAATTGCAAAAATTGTCCACGTCAAACCGACCATGTCACGTAAAACGGCTGACATCCACATCAACGCCATATAATAGGCTTGAGACTTCTTGGACAATTTTTCCAACTAATGAGCTTTCATCGTTTCTTGAAACATAATTAGCTCGATCTAGTGGAATGACTTTATTTATATATACACGCCACCGCCGCCGCCGTTTGCCTTGCTACAGTCCACCACCTGCAAAACAGCCACCACTGACCACCGATCACAACCCATAGCTGCCACCAACCACCATAACAAAGGCCGCGAAGCTCTGCCACCACCGGAAACCCAACCCCCCCCCCCCCCCCCCCCCCCCCCCCCCCCCCCCCCCCCCCCCCCCCCCCCCCCCCCCCCCCCCCCCCCCCCCCCCCCCCCCCCCCCCCCCCCCCCCCCCCCCCCCCACCCCCCCCCCCCCCCCCCCCCCCCCGGGGCGCGCCCCCCCCCCCCCCGCCCCCCCCCCCCCCCCCCCCCCCCCCCCCCCCCCCCCCCCCCCCCCCCCCCCCCCCCCCCCCCCCCCCCCCCCCCCCCCCCCCGCCCCCCCCCCCCCCCCCCCCCCCCCCCCCCCCCCCCCCCCCCCCCCCCCCCCCCCCCCCCCCCCCCCCCCCCCCCCCCCCCCCCCCCCCCCCCCCCACCTCCATAGACACCACCTGAAACAGCCGGCCACGCCTCCATACCCTTTCCTGTCAACAATCGCAAAACAGAGAAAAGGCGGCGAGAAATTTCCCCAATCGAGGTTGGTCAGTCATCTAGAAATTGTAGAGAAGTGGGGATTTCTAAGATTGCTAGCGTCAACTGAGTTTGTGTGCTTGCCATGGTTGAGTTGTTATCTGAAATCAAGCGATAATTATTACTGTGAACGACAGGGGAAATAGTAGATGAAAAATAAAGAACAAGAGGAGTGAGCTAGAACCCAAAAAATGAGTAATTAGTTGGGCTGAGGCCAGGTCCAAAGCCCATCATGATAAGTGTCAAAATGAGTAAGGGCTGATTCTTAAGTTTACTTCCATACAACAGAAAATATCGTCACGAGAATCACTTTTTGAAAGACATTTTTGAGAAACGTTAAATTCCCGCTAAACAAATGGAACATAATAATGCTAATAGAGTAACCTATGCACACCACACGAGATGGGATTTGGTCCTCCTACTGTTTTTTTTTGGTTCGTATCTCATCATCCAGCTCTGTTAATACAATGAAGTTCTTTAAATTGATTTGTGCAATTAAATCGGACTCCATTAAAATGTACATTGGAGAGAATCTACTATGCGTACCCTCGTGGTTACCTCAGCAGAAGCTGTTCATCCTCTCCATAGGATGGCGAGGTGAGTAGGAATTACACGTGCTGTGCATAGAAAAAGTAAGCAACCGTATGTCACCAATTCATTTAACCATGCTTAATTGCACAAACAGAAAGCTTAAGGATCAAATTGCACAAATAAAACAAGTTAGAGGGATAAAATTCATTGATACACATAGGTACAGCCGTATAGTTATGATGATGTGATTTCATTTCGAAATGGTGAACGTCCCTTTTATTTTTGCGGGCGTATCTAATATTGACGTTACACGGATGTTTAATCAGAGACATCATCCACGGCCGATCCTTGAATTTTTACTAGGAAAATGCGAATGGATAACATTCTTCATTACATCAAAGCACAGTTCTCGAAGGTAAACAGGAATAGAAGTGTGAAAGAATCCACAAAAATGTCGGTCCAATTTAAAATGCAGGACGGGTAATTCTTTGCTATTCTTAACTAAATTTAGTGGAAACACATATGACAATTTGTAAGAGAAATATGCAAACAACGCCATCGACAGAGATAATAATAGCCTGCAAACGGCCAAAATAAAACAGCACAGAGGAAAGACCATTGGACAAGATATTCATTTTCGGCCACGTTACTTATTTCCTATACAGAGGGAAAAGGAAAGCTTCATCGTTAGTAATTGACATGCTTGTTCAACGAATACAAATCATGGAGTACGGGATTTCAGTCACTATAAATAATTCGTACCAAAATACATATGTGACAGTCCGAATTTCGGCCAATTTTTGGGATTTATAAAACGTGTAATTCGTCAGTGTGCTTATAGTAAAATCTCGCCCGGGAACTGATCACTCTCGGTTATTATTTTTAAATTAGAGATTTCGCTAGAATCGCACTCGATCGAATTTGGATGTTATTTAGAGCCCAAACTTTGGTGTCGAAACTCTCGGAGTTCCGGGACGAATTTAATTGGAATGTGCCGATATTATTGTGGCCAGCGTCGATGTTGCCAGGAATAGTGGAAAAGTAAATTTTTGACCGGGTGCGGATTTGGACTAGTAGACCTCCCTCGGGGTAGTTTGATTTAATTAATTTGGCCTTTGTCCCTTATTATATTCTAGGATTAATTTGGACCGTAGGATCGTTTTCAGATTTGAATTCCGGCCGTTAGATCGCACTTGATGGCATTGACTTTCTCTCTCTCTCTCTCCTCCCCCTCTGCCGCGCCAGCTACGCGCACGTCTCCCCTGCGCTCACGTCCCTTTCTCCCCTAGCCATGCAGACTTCTCTCTCTCTCTCTCTCTCTCTCTCTCTCTCTCCTCCTTTTTCCCTTTTCTTTCCTTTCTCTTTTTCTTTTCTTCCTCTTCTTCTCTTCTTCTTCCTCCTTCCTGCCCCCGACTGTTGCTGCTTCTTGCTGGTTGCTCGCCGTTGCTCGTCGCTGCACACTACCGCCGCCGCGCCGTCCGCCTTGCACCGCCGCTCGCCCAGCCGGCTGCGCCATCGCCGCCGCGACCCCTCCTCTCTTTTCCCTTCCCTCGTTTTCTTCGCCCCGACTCCTCCCCTGTTCTGCCTCGCCCGCGACCGCCGCAAGCCGCCGTTCCGACCACCATCGCCGCCACCGTCCCAGCTTCCCTCCCAAGCCACCGTCGCCCCTGCTGCTCCGGCGACGACGCGTCTACCTCCCCTGTTCTGGCCGAGCCTTCGCCGCCCCAGCTTGTCGGCTGCGCGCTCGCCCAGCTCGCTGTCACCGTCGCCGTCGGCTGCTCGTCCCAGACCGGAGCTGACGCCGTCGCCCCTCCTCTTCCTTTTCTTCCCCTGTTCGCGCAGCCTTTGGTCGCGCCGGAGCCGAAACCGACCAGATCCGCCGCTCGCCGCCTAGCCAGCAACCGTCGCCCATCCGCCCAGCTGCCAGCCGCTCGCCGTCGCTAGCTCGTCGTTCACGCCCCCACCAAACTACTTCTCTCTCCCCCCTCCTCCCTGGTTCAACCGAGCTCCTTCCCGCCCCTGTTCCGGCCGAGCTCTTTCCCGCCCCTGTTCCAGCCACCGACTTGTCGCCGCCGTGAGTCGCCGCGCGTCTGCCCGGAGCTGCTGCTGTTCTGGCGAGGCCCCTGCTCGCCCCCACTGCCGCCGAGCTGCTGCTCGCCGCAGCCGGAGCTCCCTTGCCGCCGCTGTCTCCTGGCCGTGGCCGAGAGCCTCGCCGATCGCCGCCGCTGCGGCTGTCCCGACGATTTCCCCCGCTGCCCAACCTCGTTTTCTTGCTCGAGTCGAGGTAAGCGACACCCTAAACCTTGTCTAGGACTTTGTGTATTATTAGACTTATTTAGGGGTTGTTTAGTGTGGGATTTGCGGCTGATAAGGGGCTGTTTGGGCCGATTCGGAGTCCGTTTAGCGCGATTTGGTGGCTGAGATGTGGGCTGGTTAGGGGTGAGTGATTAGGGTCGGAATGTGGATTGAACCGTGGCAATTTATGGCCGATTTTGGTGCTGAGTTGGGGGCCGTTGACGCTGGAATTTATGCAGCGATTTTGGATTGTTCGTGTGTGATTCAATATTTGCTTGGTGATGATTCGCGTTAATTATTCGTGGTCGGTTTAATGCATATTATATGTGCTCGGGCTTGCAATGGTAGATGGGGTTTAATGTGCTGGAATGATGAATAAATTGTGGCGCGCGGGCTGATCCTGGCTGAGTTGATTTAATGTTATTGAAGCTTGAATATGGCATGGAAATTGATTGAATCACGTGGCGTATGTGATTGTGGCGTATGTGAAAGTAAGAAAGGTCCTGTGGGGTGTTGACCCGGGACAGAGCCCGGATTGATCGGAGGGCTGACCTGTGGGGTGTTGACCTGGGTCGTGTGAAAGTAAGAAAGGTCCTGTGGGGTGTTGACCCGGGACAGAGCCCGGATTGATCGGAGGGCTGACCTGAGGCGTGTTTACGCGGGTCGTGTGAAAGTAAGAAAGGTCCTGTGGGGTGTTGACCTGGGACAGAGCCCGGATTGATCGGAGGGCTGACCTGTGGGGTGTTGACCCGGGTCGTGTGAAAGTTTGTTTTTGAAAGGT